GTTCTTGGGTTGTGTTTGGGCTACAGTCACTGCTGATGCACACATGGTGCAAATGGTTCCCGTGGGGCAGGAATTGCCAACACCTCGTGAGTCAGCCTCTCAGCTTCAAATCCCTCCTTCCTTCCCAGACATGGCAGGAGCCTCTCGCCAGGTCTCGCAAGTGAGGTTATCAGCACCAGGTTATCCAAAATGCTCTTTGTTGGCACCTTCTGTTTTTCCATCAGCCTTTCCAACAGACCTGTTTGGGGGTACCAGAGCAGCTGGGGGAGTTTGTGTGATGGAGTTGAGGTGTCATACACACTGTTGGTGCTTCTGATCCCAGCTTGTGTCAAGCCCAAATTACACAGGGATGAGACTGCTTGCAGTGAGGGCATAGCTGAAACATACTTGTCTACCCTGATCAGGGTTTAGCTTCATATCAGAGATGACAGCCCATTATGCAGTATTTTCTTCTGCTGGGAAATTGTGAGTGCTTTGCATACATTATTCTTAACTGCACTCAGACAATGTTTCCATTGCTGCTGCTCTAAAGCAAAACAGCACCAAAATATGGGTTTGCTGGAAGTGAGGTTGGGAAAGCACTGCTGGAACTGTGCAGGGAGAACTTCTGCTCTGTTTATTTGTGCCAGGCCTGGCTCACAAGCACTTTGACTCTAGATTCACTGTTTTCCCCTGTTTCCTGCCCAGGCAGTCAGGCATGAGCCAGGGAGAAAGAGAGGTAGGCTGTGAAGTGGCACAGATAGAAAGCAGGGTGTTTTTAAAAGAACAAATGCCTTATAAATATATACATATATTATTTGTCTGTGATTTTGTTTCATTTAGATCACTAGAAGTGAGGTGAAAAACCCATGAAATTGTCTTTGTTTAAGTTTTGCCTTTACATTTTGCCCCTGTGTCAGCCTGGGTAATGGAAATCCTTGAGGTCAACCTCACTTTCAGGCCCTCCTCGCTACGCTGTGCAAGTTAGGGATGCTGCAACGAAAACTCATCCCTGTTTTCAAACCACTGTTTTAATTTGAATTTGCAAATAACATGGAAATGTTTTTGTTGGCTTTGAGTTTGACCGAAGCTTGATTTAACAAATGGTAGGACCAAGTTAAAGCAGCCACGGGGTTTTGGATCTCCTGGCTCCAGCACGTGGGATGTGCTATTCCTGAGGACCGGACTGCAGAGCCTCCCTCGTGTGTGGAGCAGGGTGTGGGGCAAGGCTTGCCCTGCTGCCACCGGCGTTGATGCCAGCCAGAATTGTAGCCCCAGGTGAAGTTTCAGCAGCCACCACTGCCCTCTCACTGCCCAGTGGTTCTTTCATACGGCCAGTATTTAGGACAGCACATTTCTGCTTCATAAAAGAGGCCGTGCAAACAGAAGAAACCATTTTCTGAATTTCCCATATGCACCTAGTGACACTACTTTAATGGCATGAACTGTACAACCCACATCATTCATGTCTGTTTATCTCTCTCAGTTTTGGCCTTCAAATTGTTTCCATATCATATGGCTGTACAGATGTACTCACTGTCCAGTGCGACTGAGAAGGAACATAAATCTGTAGTTCACCTTGGCCACTAGACAGCATTGGGTTCGCTTTCTGCCTGGCCTACGTTAATCAGGTATCCCACTCTTCCAGCTGTAAATCAGGCAGCTGATTAATAATCACAGTGAGAGAGATAATTAGTACTGGCATGTAGCTGTTCTATGGATCTCTCTTTTCTGGGAGCCAAATCCAACCATATGGAAAAATGTAGCTGAGACGCTATAAATATGATTCCACTTAGACAGTTATCTCTTCTGTTTTCTGTTATCACAGCAGTGTCAGCACAAGGAAAACAATGAAAGGGAAGAGATGCTGTTGCAGATTTTATTACAAGTTTGAGGGCTTGGGACTTTTTTTTCTTCTTCGAGGACACTGTGTTAACCTGAAGAAAGAGGGCTTGATTTGTGTTCACTTATGCCTGCCACAGTTATTTAAGAAACAGCTTCAGTGCTCATACTTGAAGAGCTTTGGTTCTCTTTTAACTATTTCTGGCAGAGTTAGAAAGATATGCCTTGTGCTTTGTATCATGACAACTTGTCTTCTCCAATAAGCCACATCTTAAACTGTGTCAGCCCTCTCTACATTCAAAGTAACTCTCTTCTGATCACTGCTGTTGGATTGATGCTGTTAACTGGGTGTCTGCAGTGCAGCCAGCAGCAGCGAGTGAGGATTTCCACAGAAAGTGAAGGCTTCGCAGTGAAGTGCAGATGGGCACCAGGCAGCAAATGAATCCGTGTAGCTGGGAATCTTTGGGCAGAGCCTCTTCTGATCTTCATGATTATCTTCATGCAACACACTGAAAATAGAAAAAGATCTTCTTCTGAGGACCCATTCACAAGGCTGGTGCTTTGATATCAACTACTGAAACTTTACTGGTATAGTGAAAACAGAGGAAAATAAAATAAGACGTGGAGTAGGAATTTCTCTTACTATATTCTGAATCTTTGCAGGATCTCTGTAAAGGCAGAGATTGTCTTTTGAGAACAGCAAACAATTCACCCCGAAGCCATTTCCTTGTGTATGTTTCATTGTGGTGGCTTATTAGACTATTTTTAACTATTTTGTTGAGGATTCATAGGCTGGATTAGTAAATGTGACCCCACTGCAAGTGGGAGAGGTCAAGGATGTTGGGGAGCTCATTTCCCAAAACAGCGTGTTGGAGAATTTTAGGGAGGCTGCAAGAGGGGGAGGTCTTTGTTGTTCTGCTCCCTATGAAATAAAAAGGAGACCATCCTACTGGGGTGTGGGATACTGGCAGGCTGTGCAGCTTCCAGCCACTCAAGCTAATGAGGAAGTCAAACCTCTTTTTGGGGGAAGGAAAGGGAAAATGCCTGCTGCAGTGGAGGCAGGAGGGCTCTTCCTTTCTGTTTTGCATGATTATTGTTGCAGTCTCACCTTGGAATAGGTGCCCCAAATAGCTTTTTGTTGTTCTTTTGAAATAGTTGACCAACATTCTCTTCCACGAGAGCATTTTCTTTTGAGACACCCCTTTTTGCTTGTGAAAGGTTTTAGAAATAATTTCTGCCACAGCCATTCCCATCCAAACCTTAAAGCATATACAAAGCCCTTACACAGCTGCATCAGTATGATACAGTTTGGGTTGGGGTTTTTTTCCTCTTTAAGGTGGAAGTTGTCAGAAGCAGTATGAGGTAAATTATGGTAAATGATGGTAAATCATAGTTTAATGCTAAAAAATGTTTTTAATTCAATTGTCTCTCATAAAAAGCCAATACCATAAAAGAAATCAAACTGCTGTTCCAAAGCTGATATAGAGAGCTCTCTGACTTGTCCTCATCTCATCTTTCTGTCCCAGGAACTGCTTCCATAAATCATTTCTCTTCCAAGGCCTCTGTTCAGTTGTACTACTTCTTTTTCTGACACTTAAGCCACTAGCGTTGTGTACCGTATGTATTATGCATTGCCTTTTGTGTATGCCGTATATTATGAAGAGCTTTCTCTCCCTAAGGGTTTCTGCAGCTATTTCTGTGAGTTCATCCTACAGGGCACTTTCATAAAAGTCATCAGTTAGCCTTTGCTATGAAGAAAGAGATAATAGTAACTGAAAGCAGGCCAAGCTCATTAGATTATGATTAAAAGGCACTTTTTTTTTTTTTTTAATGTAGTGAATGAGGTTCTAGTGGGTGGGCACTGGGCAGAAGTGGTGCTGGCAAGAAGTCACAGGTGCTGTGTCCTTGGGCCACTCTGTCTCTTCAGTTATTTTCTAGTTTTAATTAAATACTGACTCATGAAAAGCACAGTGACCTTTAATTTCATTCAAGTGACTTTCTTTAACAAGTCTTAAAAAAGAAATGCCATGCGTGGTCCTGCCTTTCTTGTCTAGGATGAATCTAGAGCAGAGTGTTGGGATCACAGGTAAGCTATTTCAAAGCAGGCTTGTAATTTGCCTCTTACAATGCTGTATCTTCAGGTCTTCTGGGAACTTGCGTGTCTCTATCAGAAATGGAGGATTTTGTCACTACGGAGGTTGAGTCAGGATTTAGGATTTGGAATTTTCCTCTGGAATTATTTTAGAATCAGCCTTGAGCTCCCCAGACTGGTGAAGTCCCAGGCTGGCCCAAGGACCTTGGTCTGAGGACCTGCGCTCAGTCATTCAGTGGGAGCCCTGCTCTCCCTCCGTGTCTCTGGCAGGACTGTGAGGCCAGTGGGATCCCGCACCACCTCTGGCACATCTTCCTCCCTCAAGGCAACGACCCCTCTGTTTTAGTGTCTCAGCTGAGCTGGAATAGCAGAGCTGGAAACTTCATCTCCATGGCTGGATTTGAAAACAATTCATCAGGTGCTGTTCAAGTAGTAAATGGTCTGTATGGGCACTGCATGGGGACTTGATTCCCACAGTCCCCAGGCATTCGACTCCCACCTGCAACCCTCCCTTCACTGATTGCATTGGCCTCTACGTGAAAGGCAGACCTTGCCTCTTGCATGAAGGACCACAGCACTGTACTCCTGGTGTGACCACCTTCGTGACCAGGAAGATTTGTCAGGGTGTAGGGTTGGGTAAGGTGCCTTTTATTTCACCAGCAGACCTAGAGAAGCTGTCAGGCCTCACCCTGCTCTCTTTCATTGACCAGACGCAAGGGGAAAATTATAGAATGTAGCCTCTGGCTTAATTAGCTACCTGCTATTCCTGTCCTCTTGCATCCGCAGTAGCTATTTATACACATGAGACTACAAGCAAGGCTGCTCTATTTTTTCTTAACCAGAAGTAGTGTTTCCATGTAAGGTGGTAATTCAGCTAATTTGGAGGACAGTATTCCTTCTTTTTGATTCTGCGTAACGTGATGGGACTGGCATTTTTCCCTCTTGTTAAGTGTCTGTATTTCATCGGCCACCGCGACTGTCACAGTTTGTACTCTGAGTGATTCCTCAGCACCAGATAATTTCCGTAAGTACACAACATTTAAACACAACTTGTTATCATGTCTCCCTTTCCCTCCCTTCTTCTCAGATGTAAAGGAGCATCCCACTATGGCCTTACTAAGGAACGGAAGAGGCGTTCCCAAGACTGCTCCCCGGACCATGACTCCAGCTTAGCAGTAGCTGCCCTGGGCCCCGAGCTCTCGGCAGCTGCGGCCATCGCCTTAATGACAGATGAGCCAGGGCTGGTGAACCCGGCCTTCAGCCCCACCTCAGAGGACAGCCAGTCAGGCAGCAGCCCCGGAGACCTGCATCGCAGCAACCGAAACAGAAGTAAGAACTGCAAGTGGTTTCAGAGCCCGGTGGCCTCTTTCAGCATTTGTCTTCTGTGAAACATATGTTGTTGAAGGCTTTAAAAAAAAAAAGGAGAGTGAAAGCTTCAATTTCACATGCCTTGTTGAATTGTGCACTTGGTGACCCAATAAATTTGAGGTAAAAAAAGAATTTGTTTGGCTGGGTGCAGCATCAAGCTGAAGATGGATTGTACACATGCAAACCGCAGGTCTTAAGGAAAATTATTTAGGCAAGCCAGCACAGTTGGAAGAGCAAATGGCATGTATGATGTGCTGGAGAGATGGTGTAGCTGTGTAATGGCTTCACCAAAACTTGGTGGCCTGAGTAACCCCCATAGACCATGCTATGGGCACCTACCCAAAAGCCTGTTGGGAACTGTGTTTGGCAGTTGCCAAGTATTTGCACGAAAACAAACCTTAAGAAGTGCCCTGGGAACTTGGGGGATGTTTGCCAGCTCCTAGGGAGGTGCAGCTCGGAGGAGCTGAAAAAACTCAGGGACAAGTTGCGCCAGGAAACCTTGCCTTAATCCTTCACCCTGTGAAACTGCACCCGGCTCTGATTAGTGTCATATGTGAAAAACATGGCCTGGCCAAAGGCAGACTTGGAAGTGTTAACAGTGAGTTCAAAGCCTGTATTTGAGGACTCTGAAGCCAAAGTGAATATCCCACCTTGTGTTGCACCAGCTGCGTCTTGGAAGGACGTTTGAAGGGCTGAAGGAAGACTAAAAAAATGAGCAGCACTCTCCTCTTGTGTGCATGGGGCTAGGGAGGCAAGGGAAGGGAGGGGACAAGAAGAGAATGCCAGAATGAAATTAAATCCCACCAGTTTTATTGAGTTTAGAGGCCACCGTCTGTTTTGAGGGAATGCTGTATTATTAGATTACAATGTTTGGCTAGCAGGCAGGGCTCAAAGAGACTGAGCAGTAACAGCCACCAAGATATCTTCAGCATGATGGAAGAGTGACATGTTTTGAAACTACTATGATTTTTTTTTTTAAATTGCCTTACCCAAGTTAGAAGATGTGATTTAGTTGGTCACTCCCACCTGATAGGCTTTGAATTTTTGACATGAAACTGTTGGCTGTTGTTGGCAGCTTTGAAGTATTGCAGGATTTTGAGGCAGTAGTGCCGTTCTTTTCCAAGAAGAGTTTTTAACAACAGCTTCCAGATTTTTTTTTTTGGTCAAACTTATATAGCTTGGGAAGGGCAGTGCTTCTTCCTTTTATATGCTTTTTTCATGGGACTGCTGCTGATTCTGCTTCAACTGAGGATTATTCTCTCCCAAGCTACCGCGCTCGCAGGAGGTTTATGTGCATGGCTGGCAAAAGAGATGGCAGAGGTGGCAATCCCAGGCTGTGGGACAGAGGTAGGATAATTGTACCCAGGTTCAGGTGGGTGCAGCCTTGGACTATCAGCTGGAGTCAGGTGCAAAGGCGAAGTGCAGGCAACCTTGCTGTTGCTGTTACACCCTGTTGTATGCCGACGGCTGCAGAAATGATGTGGTTCTAGCCCAGAACTGCTGAACTGTATTGATTTGTTTTTTCTTGTTGTTGCAGCTCGACACTTTGAACGCTCCACTATAAGAAGCAGATCTTTTAAAAAAATAAACAAGGCATTCAGTGTTCTTCGAAGGACAAAAAGTGGAAGCGCGGTTTCCAACCAGGCTGACCAGGAAAGGGAGACTGTTGGAAACTCTGCTGCTGGAGAGGAAGGTAATGCTTTATTCTCCTTGTGTTGTCACTTAAAATGGGGTAGGGGACCCTATCCATGTGGGAACTCGATGTCCATGACTGACATGCCTTTCATGCGGTGCGCTGTGCGTGATTAAAAAAACCAGAAACCCCAAACTTTCCTTATTTTCTTTAAAAAGTTGTTAGTGACTGGCAGGCAAGAATATTGCTGGGGTGTGTGGGACCTCACGTAGGGCTGTTCTGGTAACAGCCTGCGTGCTACAGCCAACCCAGTATCTAGCATGCAGGATGTGGGATCTGGGCATCTGGGATCTATTACTGGAGCTGTCATTGATTTGCTCTATCATTTTGTTGAAGAGGCTTCACCAGCATTTGTCTGACCTCCTAAAGCAAATGGATCACAGTGATCATACATTATAGGAAATTCATCAGTTTTGGCTAATGTTTATGACCCACTGGAAATTCCCAGTGGGAGGGTGGTATGAAAGTGCAAAGTACTGTAATTATTCCAGCACTTCTGTGGGATCCTTCGTGACAGACTTGTATTACCTCAGCCAGGCAGGTGATGAGGTAAGAATGCTGTGCTCTCAAACAGGGGGAAGAGGCAGGTTTGTCTGACCTTTGTCAAGGATGAGGGGTCTGGCAGGCAGTAACACTTAACATTTGGCATTCTCAAAGCAATAAGCAAATGTTACTAATTGCTTTGGACTGTAATTATGAAGTCCACATTAGCATTCATGCATTAAGAGGAAGTAATGATAGAGTGGGAATCATCGTCTTAGTCAAGGTCTTCACTGAGCTTATTATTCCTTTGCTTGATGCCTCAGCACCTCACTTCTCTTCCCAGATCAAATGTCCAGGGTGAGGGCTTTAAGATGACAAAACACCCAACTTCCCTTTTCTCTGTGTTACAAGCTATCATCGAAACCCGCTCAAAATAAGGACAACAGTCTGCCAAATGCTGTGTTTAGGCATCATTATTCTTGAAGTGGTGAATCGGAGATCAGTGTTCAATATTTCTTCTGCTTTATTTGCTTATTCCTTCAGGAGAGTTTCACTACGTTACTGTGTTCTTGGTACTTACTCTCCTAGTCCACATACTTGCTAATGTAGCCAGAATAAAACCTGATAATTCAAAATTGTGAACCTTCTCCATAAGAATAATGTGAATCTGCTCCTTGTCCTGGAAACATAATAACTTTAGTGTCCCAAATATTCCCCCCTCCCCAAGTAAAATTTTGCAAATAATTTGTCTACAGCCCTCTTTGAGCAGACAGATATGTTTCTTATTCCCTAGCAACTTCAATCCATTGTAAGCAAAAGCTTGCCCTTCCTCAGCTGGAGTGAAATTCTGCATGTCTCAAGTTCATACTTTTCAAAAGACACCTCTGCAGGATGGGGCATAGACATTTTTATGACCACTTTCTACCTAGCCTTATAGTTGTCCTTACTAATTGTTCTACTGAAAGCGTGGTTTCATGTCCAGAGTGTGTGAGGATGATCTGGATGCCAACAGTACCTATCCAGTAATGCAGCACAGTCCAGATGGTAACAGAAGGAGGCGTGAGGATGACACTGGCCTTTACATTTCCAGTAGAATGAAAAGCACTGTTGTCTCCTTTTTAAGGGACATATAATGGGGCACTGAAGTGATTGCCACTTAGGGTCCCATTCACAGTGTCAAGATTGTCATTCTGTCCTTGACTCTGCTTGTGGTTTCATTCCTCTACACCAAGCCTGCCTGTAAACTTCCGAATATATTCTACTGCACTGGAAAAACCAGGTAGGCATGCAATTACTTAATGAGCAGTTACTCTTACGCATGAGAGCACAGAAGCTGTGTACCTAAATTACTGTGTTAATTACATATGCAAAAAATGCATTTTGATTACACAGTTCAGGAATTTGGTCTTTAAAAAAACGCAAGCAAGTAACAGCAATACAAATACAACATTAATAAGGTTCTCTACTCAGTTCTTTTTTAACAGGTGCTTAGTGTAATGGCATCTCAAAGGCTCTCTGTTTCTTCCTGTTGGAGGAGCAAATGAATAAACTTCTTTCTGTACCAGTTATCATCATCCCACCAGCTGGAGGCTTGTTTTCTTCTCCAGTTCTGTATGTTTTCTTCTTTCACTTATTTTTAAAAATCCTCAGCCGTTCTGAGCAGTCTGCAGTTCGACTCCTGTTCAGAGTTGCTGGTCAAACTTTAGGGATAGCTGCAGTATGTTCTGCTCTGTGCTCACTAAAGGCCCAGGCCAAACGCACTGGAAAAAAGCAGCCCCACCTGTCTGTCTTCCCATTGCAACTCTGCTCTCCTGGGAACAGAGGTACTCCTGTGGGTGGTGGTTCCTGGCCTCTGAAGTGCCCACACCCAGTGTGAAAGCACCGATTCC